GAGCCGATGACGGCTCCGTTCAGGGCAGGGAAATGTAAGAGCTGGAACAAATAGACCATTTATTGCCAACATAATCAATAAAGCATTTAAATTATTGGGAACGCCTCAGTCCTAAATATACTCGCTGGAGCAGAGAAGAGATATATGTAAGTGGACAGTACTTGAGAACCTTGTCCTAAGTCTGCACACTGCTATAACAGCATACTGGAGTGAGAGATATGGGGGGAAGTACAAAATAAACCTGAAAAGCAGGGGCACCTTGGATATAGCAAGAGAACACTGTATCTGCATCCGTAGTCCCAGACTAACATCATACCAGAAGATAGAAACTGCTGGGACAAAAGAAAACTGGACAAGTATCGTCACCATGTGCCAAATCAAACAGGCTGTGATGGGTATGTGGGCCACTGGGGCCTCTAGCAGCATAACCTGGTTGACCAGGCAAGCACCAGCCAAGCCTGGCCCAGGGCCAGTGTTAGCTGATGGTCACGAACACTAATCATTGGCCAGGTTGATGATAAAAACATCACGTTTGTTGCAGTAACAGAATATTCAATCTCTCTCAGGTAGCATCTTGAGTCCACTCAATGAGTGAACTGACTCGGATCTTTGATATCCGGTTCGCTGTATTACACTGTGATCCACCTATCGTTGATTCCGGGGGTATGGGTCATCGGACCTACCCAATCCCACACCAGACCTGTTCGATGGCTAGATCAATCAGGCTGTTGGTGCAAGCAGCATTCAGTCGAACGTAGGCACCACACCCTGGCTGATCAGCAACTAGCATCTGGGTGCAGGCATGACCGACAGGCAGGCAGCAGAATCAGTGGTGACAGGTGGGGTTAGACAGGAATCAGTATTGGGTCCCTTGTTCACATCTGTATACATGAAATGGTAGAGGGAATATATGGCAGTATGATCGATAAATACAGTGTGATGAGGATTCCAGAGACCTTCAGATAAGTTACACTTGTGGTCGTAAAAAGTTGAAAGTAGATAAATGAGGTGTCCAAATTCACGTGGAAAAACTAAAGCGATCGCTGCATTTAAAACTAAATAAATCTCTATCGAGTGAGAGAATGACAGCATTTCAGAGTTATGAATAATAAACCTGAAGCCAAGATAAGAATGCAGAAGTGTTTGTAATGAAGCTAATTTCTTGCTTGGAGTCATATCTTTGTTGGTAACAGAAACATTGACTGCCCCACCTTCACCGTGTTGCTGTGCCCCCACCATAGTGCCGGCACTGCTGAATGATGACTCTTAGGGCAAACTCCAGTACCAAGTTATTTTCCTTTAATAAATCAACAGTAAGAACATTTCGATTATGGCAGGCAGTTCTAGTCTTCGTTATCCAAATGGATATGCATGTGCTGGAACACAGATTGAGGTGATGACGCAGTTAATTACCTGTATCAGCAAGGTTTCTTGTCAAGGCATGGGATGTTTAGTATGTATCTAGCCGGCTTTATGATATCAAGCACCTCCTGGGACCAGCTCAGGTGTACGCACGCACACATGCACGCCCGCTCGCTCGCTCGTTCACTCCAGTAGTAGGTTTGTATCACAAACCTACTACTGGACTTTTACGACAAGGTGACAAAAGTAAGACAGGAGAGAGAGAGGGGTGGGTAGATTGCATTTTTTGGGGGACTGTAAAAAGGCTTTTAACACAGTTCCACACGAGAGATTAGTGCAAAAGCTAGAGGAACAGGCAGGAAAAAACATTGCATTGGATCAGAGAATACTTGACAGGAAGAAAACAACGAGTGATGGTAAGTGACGAGGTATCAAGTGGGCACTTATGACGAGCGGGGTTCCATAGGGGTCAGTCCTAGGACCGGTGTTGACGGATGGGATAGATTCTGAGGTGTCCCTGTGTGCAGGCAATGTGAAGCTAATGCGAAGAATTCACAAGGGTGAGGATCAGGCAGGACTACGAAGGGATCTGGATAGGCTGCAAGCCGGGTCCAGAAACTGACTCCTGGAGTTTAACCCCACCAAGAGCAAAATCGTGAAGATTGGAGGTCAGAGAAGACCGCAGATGGGGTACAGGCTAGGGGGGGGGGCAAAGGCTACAAACCACACTGGAGGAAAAGAATCTTGGGGTTAGTATCACATCGAGCACATCTCCTGAGGTGCACATCAACCAAATAACTGCTGCAGCTTATGGGCGCCTGGCAACCCTAAGAATAACGTTTCGACACCTGAGTAAGGGGTCATTCAAAACACTGTACGTCAGGCCCATATTGAAGTATGCAGCACCAGTATGGAACCCACACCTGGTCAAGCATGTCAAGAAATTAGAGCGAGTGCATAGGTTTGCAACAAAACTAGTCCCGGAGCTGAGGGTATGCCCTACGAGAAGTGGTTGGAACTCAACCCGAGGACACTGGAGGGAGTGGAGGTGGGATCCATACATAGCTGTAAGAAGAGGTACGATAAAGGTCATGGAGCAGGGAGAGAGTGGGCTTAGTGGCGACCAGCAAAGTGGGGCAAGGAGCTGTGACTCGGGGGGGGGGGGCGCGCACACACACACACACACACACACACAATCTGCACACTGCCATGACAACATACTGGAAAGAGAGAGATGGGAAAAAAGCAACGGCACCTTGGGCGCAATAAGAGAACATTGTATAAACATCCGTAGGCCCAGAGTATTCGACATCTTATCAGAAGATATTAGAAACACTGCTGGGACAAGTGCACAAGTCTTCAAGAGGAAACTGGACAAATATCTTCACCAGGTTGCAGATCAGTGATTGATATGTGGGCTGTGGAGAACTGGTTAGATAAGCACACTTTTCTGCATGAAACAACATACAGCAATCGGTACTTATCTGTTAACAGCACGATGTCCAGTAGCCTCTCCCTGGCCATCCCCTCTGGGTGCCGTTCCAGGTCCCACTGTGGCTGTGGATTAACAAGTGGGTTAGATACCAATTTGCCCCCAAGGAGCGTATATCTAGCATTTCACTATCATGTGAAATGCGTAGTGGTACTCACTTGGTTTGGGCATAAAGCCCTCTAATTATGGCCTCGAATAGAACAGCCCTAATCACTTGTGTCTGCCCCAGGACTGCTGTTCTTTGTCATTACAAGTGAGATAAAGACTTACCTTGCTTGTGTAACTTGAGCTTATGGCATTGACAGCACCATTAAGGCCCAGTGACTTGACTGAAGGCTTGAGTGTCTCGAGGAATGTTGCACTAATGTTCCCCACTACATCGGGAATGTTCATTGCAATCACTTGCAATACCGGTTGCACTTCATCATTCAGTACCAACACTTGTTCATAGTTTTGTCGTACCATTATTTGTTCATAGTTTCGGAGACGCAATAAACACTACATGGTTAGTTCTACCACGAATTTCCCGACTCGTATAAGGGAGTCTAACTTTCCAAGTTTCCTGAGATTGTCAGAATGAACAAGAGTCAAGAATGTACTGGTCACTACTGTCCCTTTGTCTTTTATTGATAAGGAGGCAACGCCCTCGTGACACGTCTCTAGTCTGTTCCTTGAAGCAGTCTGAGGTCCGTCGCCCTCCAGCTCATCGTTCCCACAAAGGATATGCTAAATTCAGCTTTATATCTCTTCCTTGATACACATTGCAACAGTAATTAATACAAAAGGGTTGGTTTCTTGTTATCTAGCTATAGACTAGAATTCATAATAGTCTCAACTTGTAGATAAAGTGGGGTGCAGGTTTTCCCTTAATTTTCCTGCTAAAGACGAAAGAGTAATTACTCTCGTTCAACCTTCACTGTGTAGTTGATCAAGAACTCTAGCAAGGAGAGGAAAGCGTGTCTCATGACGCTATGGTGCATACATGTGGGTTTAATAAAGCTGTTAGGAAGGAAGAGTCCACTAGCCTCTTCCCAGAGGGCTAAGTCCCTCAGAGGGCTGAGAGATACCTAGAGGGCATTCTGGGGATCAACGCCCCCGCGGCCCGGTCCACAACCAGGCCTCCCGGTGGATAAGGGCCTGATCAACGAAGCTGTTACTGTTGGCCGCACGCAATCCAACGTACGAACCACAGCCCTGCTGATCCGGCACCGTCTTTAGGTATCTGTCCAGCTCCCTCTCGAAGACAACCAGGGATCTTCCCGTAATGCCCCTTATTGCTGGTGGGAGGCTGTTGAACAGTCTTGGGCCCCGGACACTTGTGTTTTCTCTTAGTGTACCAGTGACGCCCCTACTTTTCACTGGGGGTATGTTGCATCGCCTGCCAAGTCTTTTGCTTTCGTATGGAGTGATTGCTGTGTGCATATTAGGGACCAGTCCCTCCAGAATCTTCCAGGTGTAGATTATGATACATCTCTCTCGCCTGCGCTCTAGTGAGTACAAGTCAAGTGCTTCCAGGCACTCCCAGTAGTTAAGGTGTTTGACGGAACTTATACGTGCAGTAAAGGTTCTCTGTACATTCTCTAGCTCTGCAATTTCACCTGCCTTGAATGGGGATGTTAATGTACCCCCTTTCCTGGAGAATTTTCGCCATATGGGCCACCAGCAGCAACAGCCTTGTTGACCAGGCAAGCCTGACCCAGGGCCGGGATGCGGGAGTAGGAAAACTCTCGAAACTCTTCGAAGGTAAAGGCATTTGTACAGATATGGTATCACCGGAGAGGTATCCTGGTATCACCTTCGTACAAGTATCTTGGTTTTACTTTATGAGTATCGTAGTGATGGCTACAGTGCCATGCCTCCTAACTTTCAATCCTTCACTGCTGAATTTTTCGCTAGCTATATTTAGACACCTTTCAAGTGTGTGTGTGTGTGTGTGTGTGTGTGTGTGTGTGTGTGTGTGTGTGTGTATGTATGTATGTATGTATGTATGTATATGTGTGTGTATGTGTGTGTGTGTGTGTGTGTGTAATAGGGAAGCTGCCGTCAATTTGGTCACTGCCATATATCAGCTATAATGGTAAACTGTGGTTATAACTGCTGTTATGATGGTAAACTGTTTCTAATAGTCTTGCTCTTCCTTCCACAGACACGTCATATGAGAAGGCGTGTGGGTCGGACAGGCGTGGGTCGGCCCCTGCCACGCCCATCCTCGGGGCACGACCCCCAGACTCCACACCCAACCGACTCGTGGTCAGTAACAACCTTCCTCATTTATGGCTGTGTATGGGCAAGGCACATGGCCAGCACATTCTTTTATCACATTATTATTAATCAAAATCTGTGGGAAATGTGTGCGAATCATACTGCGTAGTGCAGTGGTTTTCATTTTTTTTTTTCCAGTGATGGCAGCCTCATGTCAAATATCTTATTCAGTGACACTCCTAGTCAGTATTTTATTAGAACCTCTTCCCAAGAGTACTTAGTCTTGATAATGAAAACATACAAGCATATAAAAAACACAGGAAATATGAAATATGCAAGCGTTTTAGTATAAGACATGATACATAAGCATTATAGAACACAGTAAATAAAGAAAAACTAGTCTTCTTTAACTTTTTTAGTGATATATTTGGGCCTGGTGTCATTGGCAGATCCTTTTGATAAAATCTAGGTGGAATATTGGACAGAGATGCCTTCATTTCTTCCTCGTAAAGGGTAACTATTATATAAATTTATTTTCCCATCATAATGTTCTTTGACTTGATATTAATCAAGTTAAATGATAAACTATTATACTATAATAGTTTATCATTTAACTCTTCTGTAGTAGTTAATTATACAATACTAGCCAAATAAAATTGTGGTGCTTTAATCAAGACGACGAAGCTAGGGCAAAATTAACAATCTTGTGGCACCCCCGGGCACTATCAGTGGCACACCAGTGTGCTGTGTACCCTGGTTGAAAAACAGTGGTGTAGTGGGCAGAGGTGTGTGAGGTTGTAGAGGTTATGCAGGTGGGGGTTAATGTCGGTGTAAAATTTAAGTCATGGTTGCTGCAATAAGTTAGTTTCCATCAGTCAAACAGTGTTAGAGGTGGGACTTTCAGCGAGGAGGTCGGTTAGAGTGCGTCATAGTATCGGAAGTGAAAGGTGTCACACTGCATTTGCGGTCATGGGAGACAGTGAGTCTTGATGCAAATAAGGGAAAGTCATATGTAATTCCTTCCATCGGGAGGCCTTCAACTAGACTGAAGGCATGCAGTCTGGTTGCTTCGACGTTCATGAGGATAGTTGAGGTAAGGATAGAGCAAGTGATGCTTCAGTAGCACTGGTGATGGAGTCTGTCTCAATGTGTTATTTCTTGGGATCACTATACCTTGCACCTAGGCACCTGGATGGTCCTCTAGATCACTTTGTACCAGGATACCTATAGGGTCCTCTAGATCACCTTGTACCAGGACACCTGTAGGGTCCTCTAGATCACCTTGTACCAGGATACCTGTAGGGTCCTCTAGATCACCTTGTACCAGGACACCTGTAGGGTCCTCTAGATCACCTTGTACCAGGATACCTGTAGGGTCCTTTATATCACCTTGTACCAGGATACCTGTAGGGTCCTCTAGATCACCTTGTACCAGGATACCTGTAGGGTCCTCTAGATCACCTTGTACCAGGACACCTGTAGGGTCCTCTAGATCAACTTGTACCAGGACACCTGTAGGGTCCTCTAGATCACCTTGTACCAGGATACCTGTAGGGTCCTCTAGATCACCTTGTACCAGGATACCTGTAGGGTCCTCTAGATCACCTTGTACCAGGACACCTGTAGGGTCCTCTAGATCACCTTGTACCAGGACACCTGTAGGGTCCTCTAGATCACCTTGTACCAGGACACCTGTAGGGTCCTTTAGATCATCATGTACCAGGACACCTGTAGGGTCCTCTAGATCACCTTGTACCATGATACCTGTAGGGTCTTCTAGATCACCTTGTACCAGGACACCTGTAGGGTCCTCTAGATCACCTTGTACCAGGACACCTGTAGGGTCCTCTAGAACACCTTGTACCAGGACACCTGTAGGGTCCTTTAGATCATCTTGTACCAGGACACCTGTAGGGTCCTCTAGATCACCTTGTACCATGATACCTGTAGGGTCCTCTAGATCACCTTGTACCAGGACACCTGTAGGGTCCTCTAGATCACCTTGTACCAGGACACCTGTAGGGTCCTCTAAGATAACAGGAAATTCTTCACATGCCTAACACTTGGGCACGACCTACTTCCACATTGGACAAATGTGACACCACCTACGACTGCTGCACCTCTCCTGCCTACGGTATACAAGCTGCTACTCCGCAGATATGCTCTATTCTTTTAAAGATTGATGGACTGACCACATCGACTCGAGGCTGAGGGACTGATTACCTCGAACTACTCCTGTTCTTCACCATTCTCCTTCGTATGGACTGATGAAGCCACTGTGTGGCGAAACGTTTCCTCATTAAAGATACCCAAGTGTTGCATGTGTGTCTATTTTATCAGTTTTTTTTTAATGTTACCCATTTGAAGTTATATTGTAACTGTTGTAGGATATTTTATCCTGGTGTTTTACTGTGTGTGAGAATGGTTTTTGCTTGATCGCTAGCGCACTCAGCTCGCACACTGAGGTCCGGAATTCGAATCTCCGGTACGGCTGGTAAACATTAGGGCGTTTTTCCATAAGACACCTGTCCCTATTCACCCATCAGTATAAAATGGGTACCTGGGTGTTAGTCGACTGGTGTGGGTCGCATTCTGGGACAAAATTGACCTAATTTGCCCGAAATGCTCTGCATAACAAGCGGCTTACTATATAGTAGTATGTCATTAATGTCACCAAGGCCTGTATACCTTGTACATGTACTTGTAGAAATAGATATTATTATTAAGATGCGTGTGTGGGTGAGGGTTAACTCTTATATGAAATACATTGCATAACTGGGGGCTTTTCCATGTAAGGAAATACCATTGTAAAACATCCATAAAGCTGTGTGCATTACAGGAAAATAAATACGATTATACGTGGGAGCGTTTGATCTCGGTACTAAATGATCTGCTGGTCCAAGCGTACTCGTCAAATTTAAATCAAAGATTCTTGTAAATAATGATGTTACATCAAATTTCTTCAGTTTACCCTTAAGTGGCTGGCGTGTTACCTATGTTTCTAATGCCGCTGCGCTCATATGATTTATATTTGTGATTCCTTGTATACCTTTGATTCTAGGTCATCGCCATCCCCCCCTTCCATCCTGCTGCTCGGTCACAAATCAGGCTTTATGGTTGATGGTTTAATCAATCAGGTTGTTTGTGCTAGGAACAAAGTCCAACGTAGGTACCACAACCCAGCTGGTCTGGAACTGACTTGAGGAACTTATTACCATTTGGACTGAAGTACTGTACCTATCTTGGACTGCGTCCTGTTACATGATCTTCTAGGTGTATTTAATTGAAATCGAGATTTATTGGTTTCGTTTTAATAACTTTGCTGAATTCGTTTTGGTAGTTCGTATTACATTGTGCTGGACTAAGAAGAAATTGTCACAGTGTGTGTGACTCTTCGGTCAAACTTCCTGTGATGTGTGTCTTGTCACTGTTAGCTGTATTCCTCCAGTTTTGTGTGTGATTAAGTGAAATCTGAACAAGGTGTTTGACGTACGGGAGTGACCTTTGTTTTCTGAGCAAAATGTTTGACGCATGACGGTGATAATTTGTGACTCGTGTAGAGGCTTCCAGCGTGTAAATAAAAATGTTGTGTTGAGGTATGCTCTGATGACGATGCCTTATCAGCAGCTGATAACGTATCACGTGTCGATAGAGATTACTTGGGTTACAGGTGTGTCAGAGTTGGTAATGGCACTGGTGTTAGTGGGATGGTGTTCTTGGCACTTCTGGCGTTAGTGACATTAGCTTATAGCTTCCACATCAGCGTTACTTACGCTTGATACACATTCCATCTGTCTTGTTTGAGTAATCGATTCTGACAGGTAAGTCCCTACTCCTACACCATCCTGGGGTGCAGTTGAACCGCCTCTGAACACAGTACCCTCGGGCACGGCTTCGCCTCCCATAAATACACATTTCGACAGTTTTTGAGAGTGAGCCTAAGTAGCTGGAGGGAGTGTTTTTACACATTAAGCTTGTGGGTCATTGAGTATAAAGAGTGATGAAGCTTCTATCTTCCTTCCGCTAATTGCAAGGCAGTTACGCTACCCATGTGCGCACACCTTGGGAGCCCCCCCTTCCCCCTCACCCCCACAAAAAAAAAATGGCAGCTGGAGAGAAGTCTTTTTTGGTTGGTGAAAATAAGGCAGGTACTCAGGCAGGTTCTCTACTGCCCAGCAGCAGTATCCACTTTAAACTTGTCATGACCTCCCTGTGTGGAAAGGTTATGTTCCTGTATGGCTTCCCATGCTCTTGTTTTATCACACTCCCGTCATCCTGCAGGAATAATTATTAAAGATAAACCATGGTGAAGATTCTGCTGGCGTTGTTGCCTCTGTACGTCTTGAAGACCTTGTGACTATTGACGCATTCGTGGCTGGGCCTTATACCACTGGTTAATTGTACATTATAACCAGGACCTTGTACCACTAGTTGACTCTGTACGTTTTAACCAGGACCTTGTACCACTGGTTGACTCTGTACGTCTTGACGTATGCTCCGAAGTAGTTTCTTTGATCAACTTGTTAATATTTATGACGTTACTACTGTGAAGTTAGCTAGCCCCCTCGCTCTCTTTCTCTCTCCTCTCCCCCCCCCCCTCTCTCTCTCTCTCTCTCGTCAGATTCTAGTGATTGTGGATAAATGTGTCCGCGGTTCTCCTGTTTTTGAGAGCGAATCGTACACTCACTGCTGACCTAACCAGATTATTGTAGTTTGAGTGACATCAGTACCCTGCAGTTATACGTATGGTTTGAATGACGTCAATACGTGTTCTTTAAATGGTGGTACAATTTCCCCTTCTGAACGTTCAAAGAACCTAGGACTCTGGGAGCTACCTCTGATGCACCATTCCAGTGGTATGCAGGCAGCGCTAACGCACAGACAACGAAGGTACTAAGCATAAACCAACATTAAAGTTCAGTTGCTTGAAGTGCCTTTGTATTACAAATGTTCTAGTTTCCCACCATTCTCTCCATGAAATATTTTGTTGTCTCTGATGATGGTGGCTAACACACTTTATAATCTTGTTGAGCATGTAATGTGACAAT